CTGAAAAATTGAACAAGTGCATACCCTTTAAACTTATTTTCTTGATATTGCATTCTGCAAGAGAATAAAGGACCAAACTTTCTAAATGCATCGTATAATGTGAAGTTGGTTGTTGATTTTATATCCAGCTGCTTAACCTGCAAAATGAACGCATCAGACATAGGCTCATTGTGTGTTACGTTGGCAGGATCGTAAATAAATAACTTTAAATAAGTCTTAGTATGATATGTTTCGATCTTGCTGTTATTGTAGATAGCGAACGCCTTTTCGGCTGCGAAAATGAGAAAGTTGATCAATAATGATTTTTTTTTTTACAAATAAGAAATTTGAATCTTTTACATTATTATGAGTATTAAATAAATATACGATACCATGATCAATTGTGGCAAAAGTGAGAACAGCAGAAGATTTGGTGGGCGCATTACGCAATTCTACACTGTAAAAGAATCACAAAAAAAAGTTATAGATTACGTAATACTTCTTTTTAAGTAATCAAGGTATAAATTTAGAAGCACAACCTTAAAAGTTCGACATCCTTAAAAAGAGGTTTTAAATCTTCCACACCAAAAGTGTATTGCAAGTCGGTTACATATAATTTAGGTTCATTAAAATATGAACCTATAATAGAGTCAGGTTGGTTTTGCATCTTAGAAAAGGAGGATTTCTTAGTAAAGTCCAATGTTGTCATTCCCAACTATTTTTTTTTTTTTTGCTATAATCAAATCTTAATTTTGCATATCCTTCTAGGACACAATAAAAATAATCTGGTTTAATATGCCAATTTGGAATTTTAATAACTAGTAATAATAATGTTAGGCAGTCTAAGCTCTCTTAAATAATGAAAGCTAGGACAAATAATAATGCCAACAATATAATTAGCTATCTAAATAGAGAAGCTTAAAAACGTAAATGCCAATAATAATAATGAAAATGAAAGCGAAGCTTTTTTGAATCAACTTTATATATCGTGCACCAACTGTGCCAGGTTACACCGAACATATTGTTTAATGTATGTGGCGCATAAAAAAAAAAAGGACTTTTGGCGTTCTTTGTACAAATGGGAAAAGGAAATTTTTATCAAAAAAATTTGTTTTCCAAGTTCAGCAGATGTCAACTTACTTCGACAAAACATTTTTAAGTCCAAATTATCAGTTTATTAAATTTCATTTTTTTTTAAAGAAAAAAATTCGTAAAGAAAGAACTGATCATTTCACAAAACGATTTTTTATTCGGCATACTTTGTATCACCTAAATTAAGCCAATGATATTAGACTTTACTTTTTTTTTTTAATTAATTCCTTTAATTCTTTTTTTTTTTTAAAAAAAAAAAAAGAATACGCGTAGAAAAGACGCGAAAAACAATTATTTTTTAAAAAGTTTTTGTTGTTTTCATTGGTCTCCGTCTCCAAACTTATTGAAACTAAAAAATTTTAGTCAATTTTGTCTTTTGTTTGTAGTTGCACAAGCGCACAAGAGATCTGGCCAATTCAAATCAATCACCACAAACAGGCCTATTGACACTTTACATTTAAGACGTGCATATAAGCAAACAAAGAATTCAATTCCAAAAAGGGTTAGTAACTTTTTTTGAAAGAAGTATCATTTTGGAAATAATCAAATCTTTTTTAACAATTGTTTATATTCTCCATAATTCCGATTGTTTTGAAAGAAAACTCTAAACTAAAAAAAAATTACAATTGAGGCTATGATGAATGCATTATAAGTAATCTCCTTTGTCCCATCGGTGGCATTAGGATTTGTGTAGTAGGAATTATATATTTCACGTGATATTGCATTACATTTAATCTCGAGACGAACTATTTCACATAATGATAAAAAAAAAGTATTTGATCGAACAAAAATATTTCGATTTCATAACACCCAAGCCGATCGAGAATCCTTTTTGCAGTTTTTGCCGATCCCGAATTTTGGCGGTCATATATAGTAATTGGCCAGCATTAACATAACTCTGGGCAAATGACTGAACAGAGAAAAAGAAAATCAATAAGCCACCCCTTTCTCAATAACAAATCTTTACCTTAGATTTTCGTCAAAAAAATTCCTTTTGAAAGTTGAACATTATAAAACAAAAATAAGTTGATCGGCAAATACTAAATTCCAAATTACTTTTGAATTAAACTAGAAAGTTATTTTTTTATTGTAAATTATCAATATATATCAACTTAATATTACCAAAGAAATAAATTAGATCGCAAAAAAACTTTGCTTGTAAAGTTATTAATTCATTCATCAACCATGTATTGCATGCGTTGGTTTATTCCTTTATTATTACTCCCTTTTCCTAATGCTCCACCATTCTTTGTTCTGACCTTTCTAGTATCATATTTCTTACATCAAAGACCATGGTAAGGAATTCTAATATGCTGTTAATGTTAACCTTTTTAAGTTAACATGTAATTAACCTAAATTTTTTAAATAATTGTACAATTTGTTAAAAAAAAAAGCGTATATTGTACAATATTACTCCTCGCATTATTTTCTAGTACGTGTTACTGGGGTCAAGGACGTTGTTGGCTGGATACGAATCACGGTCATTTTTTAGAGCCAAGAACGATTCATTCTTTAACTTCATCTAATGAAATTGCAAGTGGAAATTTATTAGAAAAATCTGGAATGACAGCTTAATTTGAATCAAATAATGTGTGTAAAAATCTAAATTCTTATTTATTTGGCGCGATCTTCAAATGGAAAGAACAATTTTATTATAATTATACTATATTTTTAATTTTATATATTTAATTTAGATCAATTCAATTCATTACAAGTATGATAATGTGTTACATATACTTTTGCAAACATTCATTTCTATTTGCCAAAAGCAAATATTTTTTTTTTCCTTTTTTTTTTTTTAAAAAAAAAAAAAAAAAAAAAAATGTAATATATTTAATAGCATATAACGAATTAATTATAATTAATCAAATGCAAACTCGGTTTTAGTATATGATTAGTGGTAGTATACGCGAAACTATCTAAACTTTTAATGAAGAGTTTAATAATTAATACCACCATTTGCTGATGTCTGAATTTTTTAAAAATTACAATTACGTATAATATACATTATAAAATATATTAATTTAGTATTTCGTGTAACATTGCACGAATTACGTGTTAATATGAAAACACGCGTAAACGAACCAAATTCCTTTTGTTAGTGTTCAACGATCGGAGGTCTATAATTTAATATGATTCTATCCTAGCACTAAATTCAGGTACGCAGTCTTCTTGTTC